GTCATTCTTAAACAATATTCAAAGGTAAAACTAATGAAAAATACATAAAAATATTGAGGAACATTATTTAAATATCTTTATCAATAGGGTAGGTTAGGTTATCGGGTTTTGTTCAAGTGACCACACTCCTTCGATCCCCCACCTCCACCCGCTTGAAAGTATTTTTTTTTATTGAATTTTATTTGAATTATAGTGTATGAAAATTGTCAAAATAATCAACTTTCAACCCCCATAACTTTTTATAAAGGTGAGACCGCCGCAATTTTTTTATTTGATTTTACTCAGGTGACTATCCTCTTTCGATCCTCCCTACCCCCACCCCCATCTAACCCCCATAAGTTTTTATGGTACAGTTGTGGGGGAGACCTCCTCTTTCGATCCCACCCGCTTCCCTTCGAAAGTGGGGGCCATCATCTAGACATTTGCCGGCAGCAATTGCTGCTAAGTTTCTGGGGGTGTAATAATGAGTATAAACCTAGGTTATCGAAGTCAGAACCCCTCAGCTTTAGCCGACATCCTAATTTTTTGAAATATCTTAAGTAACCGCCGATAAATAGTAATAAATAGGTGGTACATAAACTGTTATTAATACAGATTCTCAAAAGTTGACCATTTCATCATCAAACAATATTGCACCGTTTTTGTAAAAATCTTCAAATTTTTTTATCTTCAATGTATTCAAAAACGGTGGTAATATAACATTTATCAAAGAAAATGTTCGAATTTTATTTTGACTAATAACGCCACGCGCATGTATATTTATCTAGAGTTTTGTGATAAGGAAGAAAAAAGAAACAAACAAACTAAACTAACGTAACTTTTTATCTTTATGAAACTCGATTTATGTGCCTGTCAAAAATGTAATTTATGAAAGGAAAGATTCGATAATGGATAATCCATTTGGAAATCGCATGTACCCCAAGCCCCAAGAGGTCCATATTATTTATTATTAATTGTTAGGACCAATCACTGACGCACCTTGGACATTCTGGGACTTTTGCATGTTTTTAGGGGGAAAAAAATAAAAGATTGGCTCTAAAATTAGTAAAAAAGTAATTTTAAAATTCAATAAGACACGATCAACATCATTAAAGACAATACAACTGTAGGGATAGATATACAGGGGCAAAAGATTAGTATGCTTAGATTTGCAGATGATATAGTAGTATAAGCATCTAGCAAGAAGGAGTTAGAGATAGCTTTAAATAAAATAAAAGCGCTATTAACAAAACAGTATTGTATGAAAATAAATAAAAGTAAAACGAAAATATTGGTATGCAAGGGAAAAAATAGGAAAAGAGCGAATGTAAAGATAGGAGACGAAAGCTTAGAAGAAGTGGCTGATTTTAGGTATCTAGGAAGTTAGATAAGTCGGGATGGGGAAGTCTTCTACAATAAAAAGAAGCACTTCTATGCTAGCAAACAGTTAATTCAAAAATTAAAAACAAAACAATGTTGTTAAAGATGTATGTTTGGAGCGTGGCTGTACGGGTGCGAAACATGGACGGTGAACGCGGCGGAAAGGAAAAGGTTAGAAGCGTTCGAAATGTGGTGTTACAGGCGAATGACGAGCATACCGTGGATAGAGAAAGTTAGAAAATGAAGAAGTACTAGAAAGACTAGGAGAACAGAAGACTCTATGGAAGTTAATAAGAAATAGGCGACATAGGTTGGTAGAACACCTTCTCAGGAATATGAGGGTCTAGTCAGAGATATATTGGAGGCAGAAACAGGAGTTAAGAGGAGTAGAGGTAGACCTAGATTAGATTAGTGTTCGTAAATAATTAACGATGTGGGTTATTCTAGTTTTGAGGAAATGCGAAGATTAGCTCAGGATAGGAAAGAAAGAAAGTGAAACTGAACCATTTTGTTAAGTTGATTTAAACCGATTGGTGATTTTTGGATTTTCGGAACCTCATGCATATCTTCTTTTAGAGGTCCCTATTTATAAAAATAAAATTCCTAAATAACCCGTAATTTTACAATTCTACAAGAAATACATAACTGCAACTCGTGCTCACTTGTGGAGCACCATATGAGTCGTTTGCGTTACCTATCGTAGATCCGCCATTGGAATTATTACTAATTTTACAAAGTATTTCTAGTAAATTAACAAATGTGCACTAAAAACATGTATTGTTGGCTTGTCAATCAGAAATTTCCCTTTCTCACTTACTTCATAAAAACTGAGGATGTAAACACTTTCTTAGTCGAAGATATTGCCTAAGCTTGGTTGGTTTGCCGTATCCTGGCAAAATCCTTTGAGTTTACAAAAAGTAGATTGTAGAATACATTTTTCTTTACGTTTCATTTATTTAATTATTTTCGTGTTTACAGGATCGCTCGCTGACGCTATAGAAAACCGTATAGAATTTCCTTATGAAAAAATACCTAATTTCCCATTAAGCACCGTGGAAGGGCACGTGGGTCAGTTGGTTTTTGGTTACCTTTCAAACGTCCCAGTGGTTTGCATGCAGGGTAGGTTCCATTACTATGAAGGTTACCCTTTGTGGAAATGTGCCATGCCGGTTAGAGTTATGAAACTCCTCGGTATCACGCACCTCATAGCAAGTAACGCTGCTGGCGGTTTGAACAAGGATTACAAAGTTGGTGACATTATGATTGTAAAGGTAAGTTAATTAAAAACACAAGAAACTTTCGATTTGGATCCGATACTATTTTAAGATTACTAGATAATGGTGCTAATTTCAAATAAAGGGGGTAAAAAACCAAGCAGACATCAATTTGATAATACCTGGTTACCCTTTTGAAACCAAAGCCACTAGTTCTAGTCCCGTGATCGAATTGGCTACGTGTTTGTTAAATCAATCACGCTGCTAACTTCATACTATCGAATTTTGCTGTGCGCGCGAATCTTCCGTTGCATGCATACAATTTACTTTCAGTGCGCTGGAATAAGTACAACTGCATTTTATTCCGTTTAAGACATTTTAAATCATTTACGAACAAAAGAAATTACGTTTGTTCTTACCTAAAATTGCCCTTTCAGTAGTACTTTTCGATTTTATTACAGTCGTAGCATTTTTTATGTTTGTGTTAGTCCTAATGATTAAAATGATTAAAACTCCTCAGGATCATATCAATCTTATGGGGTTTGCTGGTAATAATCCATTGCAAGGACCCAACGATGATAGGTTTGGTCCTCGATTTCCACCGATGAATAGAGCCTACGACAAGGAATTGATCGAGAAAGCCAAAGTAATTGCCAAAGAAGTAGGATTAGGAGACATTGTGCATGAAGGCGTATACACATGTCTTGGGGGGCCAAATTTCGAGACTGTAGCTGAATTGAGGATGCTGGGAATGTTGGGTAAATATAAAAGAAATTATATGATAAAAAGTGAAAATGAAAATCTAACTTATAATTAATATTTTCTTAAAACAACACCGTGTATATCCAAGGTTCTTTGCGCTTATTACAGATTGTTTTTGAATTGCAGGTGTGGATGCTGTAGGCATGTCGACCGTGCACGAAGTCATAACCGCAAGACACAGTAATATAACTGTTTTCGCATTTAGTCTTATAACAAACTTGTGCGTAACAGAATACCACAAAAATGACGAAGCGAACCACGACGAGGTACAATTCAATTTTCTTTACATTTATTTTTTTATTAAAACGAATGTTTCTGATATATTTAACTTATTGGTATTGAATTTTATATTTCATAAATAATTATAGGCGGTCTAGTGAATTTCTTTTGCTATTAAATAATTAAGCTTACTTTGATCAATCAGTATCTTTAAACTGAGAACTTTGTCCAACATTTACGGAGTCATAGTTAGTAGTAAGCAAATACCTACAGATGGCGTTCACTTTGCCGATTGTAGTTATTTATTGAACGTCAGCAGTTGGACTGTGGTTTTCTGTGTTCTAAACGGGATTGTCAATTGCGTGCTGATGAGAGCCAGTCAGTTTGAAATAGCAAACCATCACTGCGAAGTTAATCTTAATATTTCATTTTCATGTTCTCACGTTATCTCAAATGAAAAATTAGAAAATTATTTTTCTTTTTAGGTTATTGATGTAGGCAAAATGAGACAAAAAGAACTTACGAAATTCGTTCAGGGCGTTGTCAAATATGTGGCAGATGAGAATAAGCTGGTGTCGAAAATGCTGCTTATCGCTCTCCATATTTAAAAGGGCACCAACCAAAAACTACTGCGTAGAATTAATTGGAATTTTTCACACACAAACCTTGCTATATGAGCTCCCAAAGCATATAAAAATTATACGGCTTAAATGTGAAGTTGGGTGCAAAAGAATACAATTAAATCTTCAGTCGGGAAAAAACGAAATGACTTTCCGAACAACCCTATATATATATTATGCACCTACATTTTTGAGTACTACTCCTGTAAAATGAAAACTATTAGTACCTAAAAATGGCTTATACCATTGGGGTGGAGTCTTTCTATAAACCTGCCACAATGTAACAAAAATATATGAGAACCTTATAATTGTAACAAATTCTCGAGATAATTCCTTTCGTAGTTCAAATCATCCCTCTCTTAATGACTAAACTAGGGAAACGAACTTTATTTTTATGTCAATGTAAAAATTTAATTGTAAGTCGAGAAAGGGGACAGATCATTATTTATGAAAAGCCAACAGCACATTCTGTACTTTACAACATGATTTTGCCAAGATATGTTGTAAATGATAATGATTTTTTGAAAATACCGATGATGCTTTTGTGATATTCATGAATGTATGATGCAATATATGTGTTGTATAAATTATTATTTAGTGCTCACATTTTCATGAATACTATAAAATTATATATCATTATCGCATTACCTCTTAATTCATTTAACGATAATTACTATAGACACCCTGTAAATTATCCCTTTAAGGTGCTAAGTTCCGATTTTAATTGCTATTAAAAGTAGTTACGTCATAATTTGATAATATGGATAGGTACAGCGTAATAATAAAAAATACTTACTCTCTTTTATTTATAAGATGATTTTTCCATGGTAATTGTAATTCGGGTGGTAAAAATTAAGCTACATGGCGAGTACAGGCAAGGCATTAGTTGATTAAAAATATAAAATTGTTGGAAAAAATATAAATCGTCCCTGACATACAAATAAGTAAGTTAATACCTATTAGGTTTCTGGATTTATAAATTGTTTTGCGATACATCATTTCGTTGATTAAATCTATGTAGAAATTTTACGTGTTTCTATCTGAGCATGTTTAGTTGTTTACCCATAAACAAAATAAATGTTTAATCGTTAAACTAATCCTAATAAAAGATACTGTAAAGTAGGCGTGGATTATGACGTCTTGTCAATTTTTTTATTATTAGATATCGCATATGAACGATAGCCTATTGAAAAAAGTAGTTTTTATTATTAGTAGAAAGAAACGTGTTTCATTAAAAATACATCATGATGAAATTTTAAAAATCACGTATGTAACTGCCAATTATTTGCAGATGTTATTATCGTATCACTTCGATATGGAATTTCTGTGGATGAAATAGTTGGAAGCAGCTGCTTACTTTGTGAAGTTTAAGCAAAAGTTAAAACAAAACATTAATAATAAATAACAATAAACCAGAGCGATTTATCAGGTTATTGTAAACTCTTATGTATCTACTGAATATATATCCTATGAATATAAACGAGTATGCAGGTAGCTTTATTGATATGTAATGACATGAATTAAAAGCTTATTGTCTGAAGTACCTGTTTATAAAAGTTTGTGGGCTTCTTTAATGAATGAATGAATGAAATATGCAATTGGTAGTTATTACAGCTGTTTCTATTTAGAATACCTTAGAAATTAGAAATGCTTTGTATTGATTGATTCACGGCTTCAAGTCAAGTAGTCGCATTTGAAGTATTTTGAAAATAAAGTATGTACAATAGTTCTTTAGGACGATTTGATTTCTTCATTATTTATTATTGACATCAACTTTTGGGAAATCGTAAACATAAATGTTCAGAGATTAGATTATGACTAGCGACAGCTAATTTAGCCTTTCAATCATTTCAGGCTGTCGAAATATTCTCTATCTCTTTAAGCTTCCAAACAGGAATTTTTAATAAATCTCTTGCACGTAGGTACGCAAAAAAACACGAAATGACTATTTTGAAAGGCAAAATTTCTGTCTTGTTAGTCTTAAGTAAAGACAAGTAATTTGCAAAGACAATAACCTACTTGACTTGATGAATCAAGTAATTTCAAGTTGCTCGAAATTCCCTGGCATCAAGTTAAAGATGAACATTGATAGAAAACCAAGTGAGATAGTTGACTTTCAAAGAACTTGATTTTTTAGTAAAGACAAGTAATTTGCAAAGACAACAACCTGCTTGACTTGATAAATCAAATAATACCGAATTGCTTAAAATTGCTTGGCATCAAGTCGAAGATGAGTAGTGATGAAAAATCAAGTCAAATAAGATAGTTTACTTTTAAAGAGCTTGATTTTTAAGTAAAGACAAGTAATTTGCAAAAACAACAACCGACTTGATCAATTAGGTAATTTCATGTTGCTTCATATTGCCTGGCATCAAGTCAAAGATGAGCAGTGATGGAAAATCAAGTCAAGTGAAATAGTTGACTTTTAAAGAGCTTGATGTTTAAATAAAGACATGCAATTTGTAAAAATGAGAACCTGCTTGACTTAATAAATCAACTAATATCAAGTTGCTTGAAGTTGTCGTGTATCAAGTCAAAGATGAGCAGTGATGGAAAATCAAGTCAAGTGAAATAGTTGACTTTTAAAGAGTTTAATTTTAGTAAAGACAATGCTTAAATTTCGTAAATGTTTTCCTGAGCCATGTGCTAGTTCATTCCTATATAGCGATAAGTGCCAGCTATTTTATTGTTGTTTGTTATCACATTGTTTACTAGGACTAAGAATTTCCATTAAAAATACTACTCATAAAAGTATAATTCCATACGATAAAACTGTGAAAAATATACATAGAATGATAGAATTAATCAGACTTTTAATGTAAATGTGTTATTATTAGATAATATTATAAACCCATAATATGCTGTTAGAATATTTAAAAGACAAAATCTTCAGTATATAGCTAAAATATTTATGTCTAAAGTAATTAAAACAAACATTAGTAAACGAAAAAGTACTTAATCAACTTGAAGAAGGGTATTAAAAAATGCATAGTTTTCATAATATATACGTATATTATTAAATTTATGTTTCTGTGTAAACTTGAAACATTGAATCCAATAACTTGAGGTAAATGAAGGAGTAATTGGTTAAGAATAAATATTAGTAATTAGGTACTGATAATCTCAAATTGCTCTAGTATTTTATTTGTTTGAGACCTATCTAAGTGTTTCTTTATTTTATTTAGTTTATATATTTTTTGTTGTGATTAGCTTAACCACAATTTTGATAATATTACAAATCATATATACCGAATAAGTTTTGTCATTTTTGACAATTAAATGCAAAATGCGATTCAAAGTTTCTTGTAATGTAAAGCATTGTTGTGTGCTAGTTACCGAATTTTTGAATAGTCTATGAAGTTATATCGGGAAATTTTCACAATTTCAAGTTAAGTGTGTGGCACTTTCTTAATTTACAAGTTTATCCTTTTATTATTAAAAGCATTAAATCATGATTTTTTTAGAAATCCTTCGGTAACAAACCGTTTATATTATTTCTTTGTTTTTTCAGATATACTTATGAATGTTTGGTTGACACTGCGAAATACCTGTCCGATAAGGTACCATTTAAGCCAAAGGTTGGAATTATCTGCGGATCTGGCTTGGGTGCGTATTGGAATGAGGGTATCGTTTTCACATCTTTATTCTTTATTATCTTCTATTTTCTATTTTATACTTTATTGTTTAATATTTGAAGAGGTTTC